ATATGCCCTGGAATGAAAATAAATTTATCCTTCACCATCCCACTAGAATCTAAACTGCTGAACTGTACAAAAATCCAAGCTAGGTTTCCCACCTCTCCTGGTTGAGGATCTGTGTTAAATATGAGTCCAAAGTTCATGTCCTGTGTATGTACACAAACCCCACCCCAATTCATGGCAGTGTACAAAACCAATATCCTCTAACTGGTGCATGGGAACACAGAATCATAGAATTGTCAGGGTTGGAAGAGACCTTGAGGATCAACAAGTCCAACCATGTAGAATCACAGACTCAAACATGATGCTTATTCATGACTTTATAGATGACACTGCCTATCTAGTGAATAAATAATTGCATCTATTTTGATATATTTGTATATATTTGTAGCTCAAATTTTATATTTTTATATTTATATACATGCACATATCTTTCTCCTCTTTACCCTACCACCAGGGATTGTACTAGGGAACAAGGCTCTTCTAATTGTTTTCTTAATGTCTTCTTTCCCTCTCCTTCATTGCTGCTGTCCTGTTACAGGTGTGAGGCTGAGCTAGTCCAAGCCTGGAGAATCACACAGCTTCTGTGCCTGGTAGAACCTGTGTGGATTTGCTGTTCTGCACCTGTAGGACAAAGTTCATCACCTGGTTCCTGGCCATGAGCCCCACCAGAAATTTTGGAGAAAAGGAAAAAAGGAAAAGGTTGTTATAAAACCTCACCTATGTGTATTGAAATCTCTTGCTGGGTGTCCCTCAACAGCAGTGTGCTGTCCCACGCTGTTACTCATTAGCTAGAAAAAACTGTGCTCACGTTTGGTTCAGGCTTGATTTTGGGCTCTCACAGGGATCCAGAGGTTGGGAGCTGCCTCTGCAGTGGCTGGGATCAGTCACTAGAGGGTACAGGTGCACCTGGATTTAAGGAACATCATGAATAGCTGGAAATGATAATATTTGCCTTGGATGCCAGAAATGGCTCAGCTGCCTAACACTGATATAAAATGAAAGCAAAGCACAGACAAGGAGTTTGCTAATTCCACCAAAATGTTTAATACCATAATAGATTTTCATTGAAGTACAGCGCTAATGTGAATATTTGTACAAAATATGTGGTTAAAAATAGTATTGATTTATAATATATACAGATATGTCACATCCGTGTCAGAAATGCAGACACTCGAATGAAACCATGAGCAATGCTTTTAAATCTACAACAACATACACGAAATATTTCTGCAGCTACCCACAGTAGGACAACTTGCCAAACTGACACTTAAGGATCCACCAGTCCTTACAGATGGCATTTCTGTCAGAAGTTTCTGTACAAGAACTCTGCTCTAAAATGGATTCAAAACATTGACCTTCATTAACCCAACAGTGAAGAGAACACATCTGTGTGACACTAATGTAGACACAACTTCCTCACACTAGATATAAGATCAGTTACAATAATTTGTTAAAAGAAGGCTGATTTTCTGGTGAGAATAATAGAGAAGTTTAATCTTTCTTGCTGGATACTCTTAATGTTGTGAGTGAGCCCCAGATTCAAATGGGCCCTTAATACAGCTCTTGGGTACATGACTATGCATCCTGAAGTCTGTATTAAGGTTCTGAATATCTTCATTTTTCATTAACTTCAAGGCTGCTCACACTTCATAGCTTTCCCAGCCTTATTCCAGCAAGAACCTCCCTAACAAATGTCCCTATTTAAGCTTTGTAGCTGCAGCATCAGGACACAATCCTACATTAAGATGACTTTTTCTGCAGCCCCAGAATCTGTGTAGCTACTGAGCAAACTGACAGAAGGGGAGAGAGAATTCAGGCTGGTTTTTTTAAGCTTTCTGAGCATCTCTGCAGTAGGGACTATCAGGGTTCCTGCTGTTCCATCCAGAGTGCTGCTGTTCTGCTTCTAACAGTGCTGGCTTCTCTCCCCTCCAAACCAAAGCAAATATACTCCACACTTCAAATAGACCTGTGGGAAAGAGCTTTTACAACACTTCCTCCCTTGTCCTTTTATCCCTGAATGCTGCAGTCTACATGTATTCCAAAAAAAAGAGCACAGCTACTGTTATAAAAACATCTCTTTTTAAGAGGAGCCTAGAGTATTGAAAGCTGCTGTACTCCCCCAGAAGATGGGTTAAACCAGGAAAAGCAGTGTTTGGGGTTGTTGCTAATGTAACTCATTAGTCAAGAGCATTGCATGATGCTGAGCATAAATGAGGGTCTGGCTAGGACTTTAATCCATAGCGGGTTTTGTTTTTTTATAAACCAGAATTCAAAGTGATTCCTTAGGCAAAAGAGAATCAAGGAAATGCAAAAGTTTTCCTCTCACACTAGTATGTGAGAGAAAGCCTGAAACAGCAAAAAGTTGAGTGCTGAGGTGTTTGCCACTAAAGAAAGACCAAAAATAAATTCAGTGAATATTCTTTAGAGGATCTGAAAGCACTGTGACTGTGATCAGCCTGGTCCTGTAGGACACAGCTCTCTGCCATGCCCAGCTCAGTTCCCAGTACTGTGTCCAGTGCCAAGCACGCTGGAAGAGCCACAGCCAGCACATCACAAACACAGCATTTCAGTCGGGTGGATGAAGAAACTCACTGAAGAAACTTTTCACCTCTAAAAGTGGTGAAAAGAACCCCAGAATAAATTCATTAGTAGTTTTTCTGATTAAAACACAGAGGTTAAGGCCTGACCTTTTCATAGGAATTAAGGAGCTCAGAGTTACTTCTCTAGAGAGACTTCTTAGATGGATCTAATTTTCAGAATCATGAACAATCATCTTTTGAGAAATGAAGTTTTTTTATGCCAGGCACACAGAAAACCGTATCATTTTTTCAAATCCAGATTTGAGCAATTCAATATCAGAATTTCACAGGACAGTTATCAGCAAACTCATCTCCCAGTTCCCAGTCTTTTGCAAGACCCAGCACAAACTGATGCAAGAGACAACAATTAGTTTCAATTTTTATAATAATGAATGCTAACAGAACTCTTTCCCCAGCCTGGCTGGCAGCTGGATGCCATGTTCCTTGTCCAAGCACTCATGATTATAAAAGCATCACTCATGATTATAAAAGCACAGTGAGAACACATCAGGAGTCTGGGGCGTGCCGAGCTTTTGCTCATCAGGGACTGCACTGCAGGGTTTTTTTGTGTACACTGAGCCAAATCCACGGCAAGCCAGAGCAAGTTCACATGACTGTGAAACTGCAGCAGCTTAAAATGGAACATGGCATATCCTGCCAACAAGAAGGCTGCTTTCCCCTTAATTGCTACTGAAACAGAGTTTGGCCTATGTCACACGTTTAAGCTTTTTCAGTTCTACCAGGGGTATACACCACACTACTCAGTTTATTGATATAGTTTAACTCTTTAAATGTTGCTTTTCCAAACACCAGTGCAAGCAGAACACAAAAATACTGTTTGCCATATTTATTATTTTAAATGAAGCTCTGAATTATACAAGTGTAAAAGTGATTAATTAGCCAGTAGCTTTTTAATACTCCTATAAAATATGACTAAATAGAATATTTCAAAAGTTATGTACAATACAATGGAAAAGCTCATGGCATCTATGACAGTGCTCAGACAAACCACTGGAATCGAATCCTTCCAGGAATTCTGTCCATTCCTCAGTACAAACAACAATCTGTATTTTTGCTGAAAGCTTTTACAGTGTTGCTGACTGGGACAGAGCAGGGGAAAAGACCAAAATAAAATCAACCAACCCCTCTCAACCAATTTAGGATCAAATTAGTGCTACAAAATTTAAGCAGGGGGAGAATTTTTCTAACCTTTACAGTGGCTATGGCTGTGGTCTTGCTATGGTTGAGGAAGGGGTGCTCTTGCCATATTTTCGTAGCTGAAAACAAAGTTTATTAGAGTGTGTCTGTGTATGTTAGGAAGGGGAGAGTTTGCATACCTTGTCTTAATTACAAAAATCAAGGCCACAAAATTTACTTGTTTTGTTCCAAAAGAGCAGATTCTAAAACACTCTTTCTCCATGCACTGGAAATGTTTTCATGCTTTAAACTGTAGAGAGGAAGTCATTAAAATGTCAGTTTCATTTCTGGAGAGGTCAGAAAGGACAAGTAGGCAGCAGGCAACAGAAGCAGCAGCTGTACTCCCCTGATTTCCTTCTTTTAATTTCCAAAGAACAGCAGGAGCCGTGTCCACCCTTCAGAGGCCCCAGGGCATCACCTCCAGCCACTCCCTCCAGCTCCTGCTTTGGGGAGGAAATTAAAGGGATGTGGGCTGTGCCTCAGGAGCCACAGTGTAACACTGAGGCTTCATTCTTCCAGGGTTTGGGTTCCAGCAGGAGAGAACCCCTGACACCCTGTGAGAAATGCGAGTCAGAGTGGCTGACCTCAGAAAAGCTACAGAAAAGCAAATTCCCACTCAAATGAGATGGGGCTCTGCCTGTGATTTACTGAACAGGACAATTCCCCTTCCAGACAGTCCGCATTTTTTGAAAGAAGCATTCTTTCCATGTCAGGCAAGAACCAGCCTTTAGTAAAACAACAGCTTCTCTCAAGAGTCACAAATGCTGGTACTTTGATGATAGGGACATTATTCCATAATAGATGAAACACTTTTTTTTTTTTTTGAGATGATGATGATCATTCTTTTATCACATACAGGTGATATATAAGCTTTGACCATAGAGGCTGCTTTGAATTTTCAGGTTTGTAATTGTGTTTCTATTTCAATGCTTCAAGCAATGAGCCATGTCCTGCTGCCTCCTGGGTAGTACCACACAGCTTTCCAAAGCATGGAGTAGTCACTGAATGGGACCTTGTTTTAAATGTTTGAAAATGCAGTTTGAGGAAAGAACATTTAAAGTCCAGTGCTTTGATCTGCTCTGTAGTTTTACATAATTTGAGGCCAAAGTACTTAGTTAGAACTTAGTACAGAACCATGTCTCTCCAAAGTTTGAGGACATGGATACAAGGACAAGGTTTGGCCTTCTTGCCTGTAAAAAAATCCATTAGTAATGCAGGTTTGGCCTTCTATAGTCTTGCCTGTAAAAAAATCCATTAGTAATGACATCTGATCATTTATGTGTTTAAATCTTACTGGGCTGTTTATACTGGCCTAAACTAAACCCCATGGACATCAGCACTGGGTGTATTCTCAAAAAAAGCCAGTGGTGTTACTCCTGGAATATCCTTTGTGGCCCAAGATGGTGCTTTCAACAGGAGACATTCCTAGGCCTGTGAATGACAATTTGTTTCCTTAAATCAATTTAAAATGTATCACTGGGAAAATAATTGCCATGGCACCTCTAAGGAGTTACTTTAAGGAAACTTTACACGGGTATCATGAAGATACTGAAGCCCCATTTTCTGTTCAGTCTCTGCTGTATTTCATGAGCAGTATTCTATCAGAGCAACAGCACACAACGATGCCCATAATGCAGTAACAATTATCACATTATGGAAATATGCTGAGTGCTGAGAAAAAACTGCATCTCATCAGGAATACCAGGGGGGGCCTGTGGTGGTCAGAGGCTGAACTATGTGAGAATGACAAGTCCTCATTCCCAGATGTCTTCACCATGCAGGCTGGGAATGCCATCTCCTGTCCCCACTGACACAGCAACACGCCTGTTGTCCTGGAAGTGCTGCCAGGCCAAGACCCTGCAAGGGGGACCTGACTCTGCTGAAGCTTTGTGGCATTGCTGCTAATTAAGGGTGTGATGGAACCCTCCCTCAGAAAGCAGATCGTTAGGTTTCACAACAAAAATCTTGATTACACAACCTAAGCTGACTTTTCAGATCCTAGAATAAGCTTCCAGGATGTATTTACTTATTTTAAGCTGTAAAGGATTTTAAACCATGGAGGCTCGCTGTGCCATTTTATAGTCACTTTGGGGAGTATGGCTGCAGCTAATTAGCTTAAAAATCCCACCATACCTTACACATACGCTCAGTTTCTGCAGTATTAATTTCAGTGGAACTACTCATGTGCATAAATTAAGCGCATGCTTAAATATATGCAAAATGTGAGCTCAAATGTCTAGAAAATATGTTCTCAAAATGACAAGTACACCTTAAAAAAATAAATCATCATGGAAGGTCTGCCAGACAGGGAATCCAGGATCTGTCTGCTGTCAGCCATGATGCAAACACAGAACAGTTTTTGTAACCCAGTATATATTGCAAGTGGAAGAAACATGCAGGATGGGGTGAAAAAAGGAGATTCAGTTGCATGCAGTCTAATTTCAAGTGTGTAATTATGGTCCTGTTTTCTTTGGCCTAAAAAAGAAAAAAAAATCAACTAACCTCTGCTCACCTCCACAAACCCAAACTGCATACAGCTCAAAGAGGGTTTTGAAGCACAGGACAGGGGAAAGGAAAAGGGCTGAATATTAGAGATGTGCAAGAAATTACTGACAATTTCAGGGCTATTCACCACACCACTAGGAAAGCATTCAGCCTGTAATGTTACATGAGCAGTCAGTCAGTTCCTCTTCCTCAGACCTGAAGAGAAGCACCACTCATCCCTTGACAGAAGATGAAGTGACAATCCCTACTGATATTCTGGCTCCCTTCTCCAGAGAGAAGGACTGAGCAGACCCCCCAGCAGCTGCTGCCTCTCCCCTCAGCCCAGAGAGTGCCATCTCAGATCCCTGCCATCATTTCAGACCACTGTTCTCTACAGCTATTGCTGGAAGAGGGTTTTCTGTTGTTTCTGAAAATGTTGCAAAGATAGTATTTATACAGAAAATTCCAGGGGGTGCAAAGGCCACCAAGCTGCTAGTAGAGTAAAAACAACACATCTACCCCCCTTTAAAAAAAGGGAAAAGGGAAAAGGCTGTTGGGAAGTGAGGAGGGCAGAGGAGCAGGCTGCTTAATGAAGGGCAGTAGCAATCCTGGGAGTTTGAATATCAAGACTGATATTGGCTTAATTCCCTCCCAAACTATCTCTGGTAGTGGTGTTTCAGCATGCAAATTACAGCTGTGAAAAGATCCTCAGACTGAAACCAACCCTTGTTTCCTCAGCCTTGCTTTGTCCTTTCCCGCTAGATCTATCAGTTGGTGTGTGATATGGTTACAGGTACAAAGATCTTTTTCCTAGCCCTTTTGTTACAGAGGCTTGATTACTGTGAAGGGGTTTCAATGACCTTAATGTCCCGGTGCTCAGAAGGCAAAGGCTGCCTTTCAACAGAACAAAGCAAACAAAAACCAAGAGCTGTGCTGGAGGAGAGAGAAGTGCTGCTTCTGCCGGAGAGGCTCAGTTAGATACAGGCGGCGGCACACCGGGGCGTCGAGTTTGAATGATTTTTGGCTTTGGAGCATTCTTTGGGTCCTCATCTTCTTCCATGTCGCTGTCACAAACGTGCACTACCACACTGGGAGTGGACTCTGTTCCTGCGTGCAGCTCGTATTTCTCTCCTGGAAGCAGAGAAAAGCGATCACATCAAAAGGTGGCAATCTGAGTAGCAACACAGCCCGTGGCGCTGCTGGACTGCGGAATACTCCACAGCTGGGCAGGGAGCTGAGTGGGTGCTGCTCCTAAATACAGGTGAGCACCAGCACGGCTGGACTCTGTCAGCTGCCACAACACATCCTGGGGATCCTGCCCCGGGAGGCAGTCTGGTCACAGGTCTGTAAGGCATCATAAAATACACACATCCTTGTTTCTATAATGGCTTTGGTACTAATATTGGTGGCAAATGGCACTGAAATAAACCCCCAAAGTAGGCAGAGGAAGGAGAAAGATCATAGAAGTTCATGGTTAAAAAGATGAATCCAACCTATCCAACCTTTGGTCTGAAGTTATTTCACACATGTTGGGTTGGGGTTATTCTTTATTTTTGCTGTGACTTTCCTTCAGGCCCGTTTAAAGCCCAGTTGTTGCTCTTAGACAGATTTCAACACTTAATCTAATTTCTCCAGAAATAAATTCCCCCATATCTCTGCTGCAGACAGATTTTGAGTTTCAAAGCTCTTTAGCTGGGGCTGTAACAAATTTTGTCTCTACAGATGAGATTACAGAGCAGTCTATAAATGCTCACTAGAGCAGGCTGAACGCCTAAACAGTACATGTATTTTCTAACTATCTACATTCCTTATTTAAGTCTCAACACAGTACTCTTCTGAGGAAGATGAACATGGCTTTTCTTTTTCCACAGAAAATATTCTGAATTGGAAGGAACTCACAAGGATCATGGAGTCCAACTATTAAGAGACTGGCCAATATGGGCTTGGGTGGTTGCCTATAAAGGTCCACAAGCAAAGAATCAGACATAGGGTTTGAGTCCTGAATTCAGCCTGCTGGCACTACATGTATTCTGGATTTTACACGGGATACAAGTAGGTATTGGTAATTAAATTGCAAGAAATTAATTTAAGACTTTTTTTGTTTTTAAAAAACCAAACTATGCCTGCAAAAATCTTCCGAGATGAGGAAGGTGAGGCCCCAGCAAACCCACTGGCCTCTGTTTGTGGTGCAGTGCCTCCTAAATGCTGCATCACTGGCAAAACCCAGCAGTGCCACGTGTTGTACCATGGAAGCAAACAGCAGTTCTTGCCTCAAAGCACTTGTGGCTTGCTTGTGGTACTAATTTGGAGTTTTATGTGTTTGCCACTTTGTGGCAGAATAATTCATGTGAAGAAGGGGTTTCAGGTTTGGCCCAGCATTAGCACATGCAGTTCTGGGACTCTGCTCATATGCTGTTTGTGCTGACAAATTCCTGGTCCAAATAAGCCTGGGTGGCTTGAGACTAGAGGACACACTGTATTTTTGCCTAAAAGCAAGGAGGCAACTAGTGAATAATAGCTATAAGCCAGGCATCTTGCTGCGAGAAATATTTTACTGCTGTGATACCATTAATGTTGACATTTAACTGCTCTATTTTTGGCAACCTTTCCTCTGAATCCAAATCGAGCAAAGCATTACAGGTCTTGCTGATAGGCTAAAATATAAAAAGAGAAATAGCTTGGTTGTGCTGCATTGAGGAATTATATGGTTTTTCTTTGCCCATTTTCCCTGCGGGCCTCAGCTAATTTCTCAGCTCTGGGCTGACGTCAATGGCGGCCGGCAGCGCCGAGGGCTGCATTGGTCACTGTCACTGAGGGCTGCAATGGTCACTGTCACTGAGGGCTGCACTGGTCACTGTCACCGCGGGCTGCAATGGTCACTGTCACCTCAGGCTGCATTGGTCACTGTCACTGAGGGCTGCATTGGTCACTGTCACTGAAGGCTGCATTGGTCACTGTCACCGAGGGCTGCATTGGGCACTGTCACCGCGGGCTGCAATGGTCACTGTCACCGCGGGCTGCATTGGTCACTGTCACCGAGGGCTGCATTGGTCACTGTCACCGCGGGCTGCATTGGTCACTGTCACCGCGGGCAGCTCCGCAGTGCCGCCGAGGGCTGCATTGGGCACTGTCACCGAGGGCTGCATTGGTCACTGTCACCGAGGGCTGCATTGGGCACTGTCACCGAGGGCTGCATTGGGCACTGTCACCGAGGGCTGCATTGGTCACTGTCACCGAGGGCTGCATTGGGCACTGTCACCGCGGGCTGCAATGGTCACTGTCACCGCGGGCTGCATTGGTCACTGTCACCGAGGGCTGCATTGGTCACTGTCACCGCGGGCTGCATTGGTCACTGTCACCGCGGGCAGCTCCGCAGTGCCGCGCACACAGCGCCGGCCCCTGCTCCTACAGCAGCGCCGCCCAGGAACTCACATTCACTGCCCTCTTAAAAGGTAATAATCCCAGTTCAAATGCCACGTTCTTTTACTGCTCAAATCCCTCCCAGAAGGACTCTTTCTGCTGAAAAAGAACAGTGAAAAAAAGTACAGACGCAAGGAAAAATATTCAGATGCCTCTGGCACAAGTGACTGCAGCAGCAATTAATGTCACTTTGCAAACCAAAATGTGATGCACTCATAAATTATGTTTTTAAGGCATACAGTGATTTCTGAGCATAAATGAGCTGCAGACTGTTCTGTAAGCAAACAGCACAAAACCTTTTCATGGCTGAGTTAAGAACAGGACAACAATAACTCTGGGACTTTTGTAAAGCCATATCTTGTTCCAAACGTAGTCACTGTTTGCAGAAAAACACTAAGGTGATAAGCACAAAATAATCCCATGGATACAGACAGATTAGCCCTTCCCTTCTGCTGCTTCCCTGTATCTATGTTTTTTTTCTTTTCTCTTAAACACGATTTCCAGCATAAAAAAAATTTAAAAAAAAAATTAATGAGCTAAGCCTGCAGCAGTTCAGCTACTGAAGCAATGGTTGAGTCACTGGATTGACAAGACCTAGGTTGTCCCAAGCTATGAATAGCAAGTTGAATTAACACAGGTAAGGCTCACCAATTCCTGTAATACTACCCAAGCACTTGTCCACTGACCTCAGCTGTCTCTGACATGGCCTCCTCTGTGTTCCCAGGCCCTACACTGATCATGCTCCTGCTTCTCCTGCTTGTCTGGAGAACTCGTACAGGCTAGCTAAGCCAAAGGATTCTTGGGGACAGGGGTCTTTCTCCTCCAGCTGTCTTTGACCTATCTCTATCCTGTAATAATAAATTTACTCTACATAAGCTAACAGTGGCAACTCACATAAATTTACTCAGAAAATTACCATAAATTTATCAAATATACTCTGCCCTTCAGGGAAGAATTCAGCTGTGGCACATCCACTATATCGATTTATCAATAAAACTTTCTGATACGCCCCTGAAAGCAGCAGTGATGTTCCTCTCTAACCACTTGCTTTGAATAAGAAAAACAGTAAGAATTTGAAGTTTTCTCCCTTAACAATGAGCACAGCTGCTTTTATGTCACTGGGCCCTACTTTTTGTGACCACATGAGCCAGGAGTAAACCCACAGCCTTGCATGATGCAAGAAAGATGAGCACAGAAGCAACTTATGATATTTCAGAATTAAGAATAATGGTATAGGATTTTCTATCCCTTTGTGAGTCAATACTGTGACCTTTCCTAGATGGTGCAGTTCCTGTCTAACAGGGCCTTTTTGTCCAGCAAAGACCACACTCATATACATAAAGAATAATGTAAAAATGCTAATGATAACATGTAGCTACCTCATCCCTAATTCAGACTCATGAGCAAAGGTTAATGAGTTCAGAGCTGCCCATTTCATGTAAATGTGGCATTAGCATCATGAAAATACCTTCCACTTTCAGTCCCTTCATGCAAATGCTTTACAAATAAGAGGATGCAAATAACAGGAAGTCCTTTGTATGGGTGCACGTTTGTGACAGGAGAGCTACAGCCCATCCCACAAAACACCTCCATGAAACACCTCTACAGCACCAATCTGCCATAGCAAAGTGGAGGAGCTGCTCCCTGGAAGCCCTTTACTGATGCTGCAGGAGCTGGGCACCCTCCTCTCCCAAAGACAGGAAAAGTTTTCTCCATCCAGCAGCTCTCCTGTGCCCTGCCTCTGGTAAGAGAAGGGAAGGGCAAACGCACCCACAGAACAGCAGGGAGAGGAAGGACAGAGATGAAAAGTTTTATCTATCACCATTTGTTTGCCCCTTCATCCCCTTTTAATCCTCCCTGGGAGTCATATGAATTATTTAGTATTTCCTTTGACTCAGTGATGACAAACACGAGAGTTTGAAAACACTTGGGCACAGAAAATCTGCCTTGTGAGATGGTTTGAAATCCCTGTGTATGGCATTTCCTGGGCAGGGTCCTGATCTCACCTGTCTTCCCCTTCCCTAGGGCAGGGTGAGCCAAACCCAGGGCAGAGCAGGCACTGAGGCTGGCAAGGGGGAGTCACGGTGGCACCTGGGATCCTGGGAAAGGCACTCTGGAGTGCAGAGTTAGAAATGAGGGGTACAGGGCAATCTGTTGTGAAGAATGAGGCAGTGGGGGAAGGCTGGGGAGTGGACAGGGAGAGGGACTGCTTTCCAGAAAAGAAAGAGCATATTCTAGTGCCAAGAGGACAGTTTGCAAATCACTGCACTAATAAATGGCAAACAGCTGCCTGTCCTTTGAGAGGAACAGCTCTGCTGTAGACACAGGCTGGACCTGGAGACTCCCTCTCCCTCCACTTTGCAAAGGTTTCTCACTTTCAATATGTTTGCAACGTGGGGTGGTTGTTTGATTGTTTGCCTGTCAGGTCCAGGTTGTATCCTCACCTGGCCTAACCTGGAGCTAGCTTTTTCCTACAGGAATGCTTGCAACCTGCCAAGCTGTTCAGTCCAGGCCCTGATGTCTGCACATCTTCATCAGCATTTGAAACTACTGGAAGTTGTCTTGACAGTGGAAATGTTTTCCATCAAACTGATTAACAATAGCACTCCTTTATTTGCAATATATTGAAAAGATTGTAGGCTGGTGGTCAGCACCAGGCACAGTCACAGTTCCTGGCTCTGACTGATCTACAGCACTCTGTTCATGCCTCATTTAAAGCCTAATTTCTGCATCTGTAGAAAGTGAGAATATACATCAATCATCCAGGAACTTAATTAAATATGCCACAATCTTCCCTATGGACTAAATGCACCCTCACTGATCTCAACTCCATGTGAAGGGACCAAAACCAGCTTCCTTTTGAGCACAGAAAGAAATCTGTTCCATTATATCTCCAAGATGCCAGCCTGTCACTGCTGCAGCTAAAACACCTGTCCAAAACTGCTGGCACATGGCAAATCTGTTAACTCACTTCCAGCATACTCCTTACACTCTGGAGCAAATCTCCCAACATTCTGCACCCAGGGACAGTTTTGGTCTCTAATTTTGTGGCTATGATCATTATGGCACCATACTGTGACAGGAGATGACCTGGATTCAGGGAATGGGAAAGGAGCATGGGTCTGTGTCCAAGTACATCTTGCATTTCCAGTGAAGTAGGTCAATAAAACTAATCTTAAACTGAGGGCATACAAAGACACTGTTCACTATTTAGAAGAGCTAATGAGTTTTCCTGATTCTCAGATGTTTATTATACCAAATCACTCCATTTAATACAGCAAAGATTCCTTACAAGATGAAGACATGGAAGTCAGATTCTAACACTCTCAGCTCTGTAAACAACTGTGCCAAGTGAGTATTTTTTGACAGCTGATAAGCTGTTATATTTTTAAATTGTGTTTTTGAATGAAAAAAATCTCTTCTCTGAGGCTACCAATGCTGTTTGATGTCCAGCAGTTTTACTGCTGCAATACAGAGAAATGAGTGTTAGTGGGATTTGTTTTTCAATGAAATTCTAAACATAGTAAATGCACAACTGAGAACAGCAACACTATTTTAAACCCGCCGCTGCAGTTAACTAAAATTGATCCCTCTAACAAGTGCTAAAAATAGAAAGAAGAGAGCACACAATGGCTTTTCATATTGCTCCCTGCAGGCTCCTTAAATCCGGGTGAATTTGACCTTCACGCAAAGCTGTCCCAGAGTGTGGGACAATGAGTGATATTTCACATTCCACTGCTCCAGAACAGGAATTGATTTATTACCCAGCTAGCCCGGGAATTCGTTTACATGTTTCCATTTATAACACTGCTGCATCAAAGGAGATAAAAAAAAAAAAAAGGAGGTTTTTGTTTTTTCTTTTATTCAGCATTTTAGAAGCAAAATATCACTCCTGGAAATAACAATATGCAATATCATATGAAGTCTTCCCCTGACTGCCTTTTTCTACTGCCTTTTTCCTGCTGAAGAGAAACAAACCATAGGAATCTCCTGATATATATTTTCCTCTTGTGAGAGATCCCATCTGAAAAAGACAGGAGAAAACCTGCAAACCTTGTGAATCACGAAACATCCTTCTGCACCCCATGCACTCCAGCTCTGAGTTCCTTTGGTGCAGTTGCACAAAAGCCCCAATGATTAGATGTCTGCAACTGGAAGCTGCTCTCAGAGCGAGCAAGGAGTATTCCCAGTACAGCTGGGGAGAAAACAATTCTCTCATCCCACAAGAATTTCAAAAATAAACTGCTAAATTTTCATGAGCTCACCCCCACAATTGTTATTAGATTGGATCTGAAATGTTTTATTTCGGTATGAAGAAAATTTAATAGGCTATTTTTTCCTTGTGGCTTATGAACATAAATTAGATTAATTTGTAAATGATACTGCTTGGACCTGAAACTGGAACCTTTCTCATTTTGAAAATTCTAAACCAGGATGCCTTAACAGCTTTGAAAGAAAACTATTTATAAAGATGACTTAATTAAATCAAAAGTAACCCTCTCCTATGTAAAGTTTTGGTTTTATCAGATGTGCATTTTCCAAGGGAAAGCATTGCTTGAAAATCCCTGCTAGCTTCAACTCCTGGAGTTAGCTGAAGATGGGAAGACAGAAGAAAGCCTGGATGCATTATCTATTGACATTTATCTCGTGCTAAGGGAGGCTACAACTTATCCCATTCCTCCTGCATACTTTTCAGCAGGGAATGAGCATTCCTAACAGAGCAATCCCACTGGGGCTGGGGAACAGTAGTTCTCTCTCAACAAACAACATGAGAGATTCTCCACTCCAGTGAATGTGCACTTTTTCAAGTGAGAAATCTACACCTTGGAATGCAGAACTGAGCAGATGTCGTGTACAGCAAAAACTCCTCACATCCACAGCCAAACATTTGTCCAGTCCCCACCTAAACCATCAGCTGTGTCATCCAGGCATGAACCCCAGCACAATAAATGGTGTAAGCAAAGCTTTGATCAGCTCTCACAAGCTGCAGATAACACTCAATTCTGTGCCTACACATGGCAAAACTCCTTCTGAAGGAAAGAACCAGGTGACATCCATCAACTGAAATCCAAATTTTAATGCAACTTCCAGCTCTCTGCCAACTCCCTCTATAGTTATTATCTACACTGGTATTTCTTCTCTGCTTTTCCTGACATGTTTTCACCCAAGGACTAAAAGCTTACCTGGTCCAAGCTTAGAAACTGCATAAAGGAGGTCGTAGTTGATGACAGGTGTTGCATCATCTATTGGTTGCCACCCTACAGGTGGGGAGGCTGGAGGCGAGATGAGAAACTGTTTTGCAGGCTGTGGTGGTGCCAAATGAAGCTTGTCTCCATCTGTCTCAGAGGTCTGAATCTTTAAAGCATAACAAAGACACTGTTTAGTACAGGAAAGAATCACAGAACAGTTTGGGTTGGAAAGAACATTTAAAGGTCATCTCCTCCAACCCTCCTGCCTTGCTCAGAGCCCCATCCAGCCTGACCTTGAATATTTCCATAGGTGGGGCATCCACAACTCTGGGCAACCTGTGCCAGTGTTTCACCCCTCCTACTGCAAAAGACTCATTCTTACATCCAGCCTAAAACAACCTTCCTTTAGTTTAAAACTCTTTTCCCCTTGTCCTACTGCAACAGGCCCTGCTAAAAGGTCCATTCCCATCTTTCTTGTAAGCCCCCTTTAAGTACTGAAAATCCACAGTGAAGTTTCCCTGGAGCCTTTTCTTCTCCAGGCTGAAAACCCCCAGTTCTCAGCCTGTCTCCACAGCAGAGGAGCTCCAGCCCTCTGTGCATCTTTGTGGCTTCCTCTGGCCTCATTCCAACAGGTCCATGCCTTTCCTGCATTTGGGAACCCAGTGCTGGACACAGGACCCCAGGTGGGATCTCACTGGACCAGAATCATGTCCCTCAGCCTGCTGGTCACACTGTGGGTGATGCAGCCCAGGATATTTGGGGTGCCAGGGCACATTGCCAGCTCGTGTCCAGCTTCTCATCCTCACAGGATGGCTAAATGGAATGACTGCTCAAATCATACCCTTCTCATCCCAAATGCCACCCAGGCAGGGTTTCAGCATCACTCTCAGAAGAGAAGGCCTGGAGATGAATTTCATCTCAGCCTTACAGATGGTGCCTCTGCAGTAAATGCGCAGTGTGGGGCTGTGACACCAGCAAAGCTACAATGTCTGTGCCTCCTGTGTATGTTCTTTCAGGAAAAATGTAAAGCTTTGGTAGCCCCAGCTGCTAGCTCAGAGAGTTCTGAGGCTGTAAAGGCAGTGTTGTGATCTGGTCTAAATGCCTAAATAAAAAGTGACATCACAGAAGTAACTCCTGCACCAAGGCCTTGTAAGCAACTTCAGAAAGATTTCTACAGATTTTATTTCTTTAGTTGAAGTGAAAAGGGAATCTATGATATTCCTTAGTAGTTTGCAAGTGAGTGTCCTTATTTTTTTTCCATCTTAAATTACCTAATTAAGTAACTTTAATTCCTGGGCTTTTCTAGTGTGTTAAAGAAGCCTTGATGTAAATGAATTGTAGTGCAGCCATACCTGAGCAAGGTTACAACCAGCTCGAGCACAGAAGCAATAAACTCTATTTCCATGACAGCAAACATGGGGTTTGCAAAGAACCAGTCTGAATCTCTCAACTCCATATTCCCCAGAACTTGTAGGTCTGGAAGTGGTGATTCAGCCTGGCTGAGGGCAAACACTGCTCCAGACACTGCTGCTTCCACATCTTCACTCCCTGAACACGACTAATAAGCTCTTGTAAGACTACATGTACTGGAGAGCATAGAGCAGGTACCAGAATGGCTCTGCAGGAAATCAGCTTAGATAGGGAGACAAATCACTACTGTGCACATTTTTCTTTTTGTTGTTATCCCAAGTTTTCAATTAGCCTCCTGAATACAGTTAGAATGAAATCATTCTCAGATCTGCCTAACTGCAGGTTTTGAAGCCTTTCAGAAAAAAATTCAGAGCCAGATTTAGGAGATCAGAGCATAAAAATGGGATTGAGGCAGATTCTTAACACCTAAATCCAGCTGTAAGACCCGAGCTCATCTAACTCGTTAAGCACTACGGTTTTTTTCACAGCTGAAGCTTCCCATCTTCCTGTGGTTCTGCTCCTGCCTAGGCTCAAAACAGCTCCTATTCTGACCAGGATGAAGAGGCTCATAATTTAACATTATGGGTTTGCTTGATACCTTGAAGTGTGCCAGCCCTTATCCTCAGACCTCTGAAGGGCCAAGCTGGCAGCTCAAAGCACACCTACATTGCTTATATACACTAGTGGGTATCTCACAAGCCACAGTGACCACATCAATTTATTAAACTGCATTCAGAAGAGGTGGTGGTTGGGTTCTCAACCTCATTCAACTTTCTCTATCCTGGCTGGGGCCCAGCCTGCTGTGGGAGATGTATGTTCTTTCACCCTTGGCTAAGGAGAACTGAACACCCACCTGACAGTTCCAATAGATGGATATAATCACCTACAGCCCCAGGCTGGGAGTGTTTTACTTCCCCTGCCTTCTTCCTTTGACTTGGACTCAGTAAATTCCTTTTAGAGAATTCAGTATTTGTAATTCATATATTCAGTAAGTAAAAGCCAAAAAGGCAGGAGGAAGCCTGACTGTGGCTCAGGGTTGCAGCCAAATATGTAATCCAGCCCCACCTTTTTTATTCACTTGGATTCTTGACTTTAGCACTTTCTTATGGTTAGTTAAGAGAGTTACCCACAGACAACAATCAGTGTTTAAATCAGCTCTGAGATACATAATTCTGTGTGTTGAATGAGCAACTTTAGTCCTAAGTGGTCTTTTAAATTGACTGCAGACCTTCAGGGCAGGAGCAGCTCAGTCAACACAAGGAGGTTTAAGTAATCTTCTATCAAAGATAGGGCATGGGAGAAACCTTTATTACTTTTATTCAGTGTTACAGCACAGCTTTTAAAGAAATATTGTGCAGTAACACAGAAGTAGATTTCATTACCTGTGCAAAATACAACTTTAACTTCTTCCCTCTGAACTGTGTTTCATGCAGCTCTATTCTGGCACGAGCAGCTGATTTGGGACTGCTGAAATTTATCCGCACACGCCTGAAGCTTTTGAACAGCTGGAATGTCACGCAGTCATCATAGGCACGGAACAAACCTTCAAATTTCTCCTGCAAAGCAAAAAGAAATAATGCTGAAGATTAACTTTGTGCTCTGTCACATCAGTCTGAGTCCAACAACAATGCTGAAACTTGACAGTTGTTTTAGCAGGAGGTTTCAACCTGTGGCCTTTAGGGACAGGTGTCCATAGATAAATAAAGGCTCTGTGAAAAGAAATTAAGGAAAGCAGTGGTCTGGTAGTGCTGAACTCTGCAAAGGGTTTAGGGGAAGAGGTCTTCAAACTGAGAACCCAGCAGCTATTGAACTTCTCTTAAAAGCTGAGCAAACCTATGACAGTGACATATGAAATGAAGCTGAAAGGGCACATGACTGAAAACACCAGACAACAGTGGGCTCATGTGCACAGAAGCAACCATTGTGCTGAATTACAGTGGAGTCAGCAGACAAAGGCTGCAGCTGAGGCTTATATCCACATCAGCACTGCAGGGTCATTTTTTATTGTATGATATGTTTTTCTGGACATGTTGTCATTTAAATACTTAAGAGAATACACACTTGTTCTTTGAGAGGTCCTGCAGCATCTGGAAACAAATTGGACAAATTAAAACAGTGATCTGTCCAAAAGAGAAACTGCAGGTTTCAAAATGTTTAGCTGTAGAAACATGCTCAAAAGCTCATGACAAAACCAGGGATATTTTAGCGTTGGAAAATGAAGGTCTGAAGTTATCCATGGACTTGGAGATGAACAGAAATTCAAGGCACTTTGGCAGCCTTGGAAGCTCAGACTCCATGATTTCTCTGCAAGCTGTGAGCACACAGTTCCACACCATCAATAAACCCAAAGTCCTTAAATCAATTCTGACACTTGCACAGGTCTTTTCATTCACATAAGCATAGGTTCATAAAATGCCAAAGCTGAAAGGGAGCAGTTATTATTTAGTCCAGCCTTCATGTTTACTGAGATTTCAGACTGCCATCCATTGAGTCACACATCAAATCTGAGTATTTTAGCTACTGCAATCAAGACTTGAAGTTTTGTAAGATAGAGAATCAGCCAGACCAAAGCCTCTGCTTTTAGAAGTGCTTTATTCTGAAGAAAAACCACTGGTAAGGTGATTTGCCACACCACTTCATATACACTGAGAGCTGTTATGTCAGGGGTTTGTATAATTACAATAACCTAATGTATATGGGCAGTAACCTGATGTTGATGCTCCATCCCTGAAATGCTCAAGACAAGGTTGGATGAGGCTTTAAGCAACCTCGTGTTGTGGAAGGTGTCCCTCCCCATGAAGGAGAATTGGAATGAAATTATCTTTAAGGTTCTTTCCCATTCAAACCATTTCAGGATTCTGTTTTCTTGCTATCTCTGCAAGTCCTTACATTTTTGCATGTTTTAAAATATTTCTTTGCTTCTCATCCAGGAAAACAATTTCTTTTTCCTTACAGTGGATAACTGGTACAGACTACAGAAGACAAAAAAGAAAATGCAATTTATGTAATCTCATCAATACTTCAGTTCTCATCTATTGAGCTTACCAGCAAAACAAAGAATTCAGAACCTCTCAGAAAAATTCATCCAGAAGCACAGTGCAGCTGCATCAGGGAGCACTACCAGCACCGTGGGAGTAACTACTGTCAGAGTGAGACATTTGTTAAGGAGTTAACAGGGAAGCAGCTCAGTTCCACAGCCAGGGCTGTGACACCACGGCGCATGTGCCCGATCTCCTTTCATTCCTTGCCAGCTCTGTGGTCTTCCTCCCCATAACTGATATCCCATTGCTGGCACCCTTTCAAAGGAACCTCCCTATGGTCTATTAAGCTTTTATGATTTTCATTTCATTCTGCCTGACCTCACTCACCTCTTCCTCTCACTGCAGGAGATACTTTGGAGGAATGAAAAAAGAAAAAGAAAAAAGGGAGGTGAGAGCTCTGTGGTTTGGCAGAGGGTGACTAAAGGCATGCAGCCATCCCCAAAACAGCTGAAGTGCATAGGTTTGTACAAGCAGGTCTAGTCTTACCACCCAATGTTCAAATTGTTACACCTCAGTTACGCTTTTTATCTGCTTCGTTTATATTTTTGAAAAATTCCATTTTCCTGAGCAGAAGCCTACATCCAGTGGCATTTGTATAAAGGTCAGACAAAAGCAGCAGTCATCTCAGTCCTGTCCTGATTGGAATTTTGATGTTACAGCCTTCACAATGACCAGGAATAAAGGGCTGGGGGAAGGGAGAGAAAAGGACAGCAGCCCAGTGTCTGCATATAGTAGGTCTCACACAGCATTCAGAAACATAGTCAAAATAAAAAATAAAGTGACTAAGTAAAGCTTATGTCTTCATGTTGTCTTTATTACCTACTTCAAACCTCCTCAGTGCATTTTTTAAATGAAATAAAGAAATTTAAATTCACATTAGTGGGGGACTTGGCAGTGCTGGGTTAACAGTTAATCCTAAAGGTCTTCAATGTAAACTATTCTATGATTCTGTGAGAGATAGAAAGGAGTGTGTATATATATATCTATATGTATGTATGTATGTATATATGTATAGAATGATCAAGACATTATAACAGAAGTCTCATAAGTCAAAAAATTAGCAGCAAGGTGAACATTTCCCAGTAGTAGCTCTCAGTTTCCCTACAAGTCAACAATAAAATTCATCATATTAAAAAAAATTTCACCAAGAGTGGAAGGAACCATGCATGGACTAATCTGGACACTGGGAAGTATCTATTCCTACTGACTGTTTATTAATAAAGAGATGCTCCCTGTCTGGATGCAGCAGTCAGGGCTGTGTGCTTGCCCCTCTGTAACACAACCCGAGCCCAGGTCTTGGTGAGGGACCTAACACAACATTAGGGAGGACACAATTTCAAAGGTGGGTGAAGAACAGTGAGCACAAGGAATGTGCTGGGCACATTCCTGGGCTACACTGAGACTCACTCTGATTGGGCACTGAAAAGGATAGATGGAGAACTGCAAAAAAGCTGATTAAGTCCTGGATGCCACTGCCACACTGGGAGAACTTAAAGCACTGTGGACTTTATTCTGCTTGCTTTTCAATTTTATACCGGCACAGCTTTAGAGACCCAGCCTTGATTAATGCTCCAGAAAATGCTGTGGGGAGGAGGGAAATCAAACCCTCTACTTGATATTATTAAAGGGCAGTCTATCCACAGTGGGGACACTTCCACTGCACTGACTGAAACTGCAACTCCCATTAAAAAGATTCATACAAGTGGATTTTTTTATGTTTTCAGCTGATAATAATAATGACCTCAGCAGAGGTCATTAATCATCAAGTGAAGTTAATGGCCCTCAGCTGCATTTTGAGCCATCCCCACTCCTCCGAGCTTGATATCTATTCCCAGGAAAAGCCTTATGCCTTAATTGCTATTGCCTGTGATTGCTAATATCTGCTGAATGCACTTATCTGGATAAAAGTCTTTCAGAGTCATTCCAATCTATAAGAAAATTTATCATATACATTTTAAAGACCTAAGCAAATTCTTATCCTTTCAAGTTTTGTGGATAAATTATTCAAGACTCATAATCCTCTCAATTCAAGACTTTTAAAGTGCTTTTAGGATTCAGTACTTTTAAATGCCTTTAGAAAGTAAGTCTTTGAACTTTCAGAGCACTTTGAAACTTGGGGGAAAAAAAGGAAACATCCAAAGTTAAGCAGCAGTGTTGCTATTCTTAAAAAGTCAAAATGTAGAAAGTCTTGAGTTATACATTTATTTCTGGAATTTTGGAGAGTCTTCATCCATCCCAAGTATGTCTCAATGAGACCCAATTAATGGTCTGGAAGATGTGAGCAACCTTCACTTCACCAAGTTCCCACTTCTCCCTCCTGTGCCCCATGCCCTCTCTTCATCTCGTTATTCCTGTGCCCAGCACTGGGCACCTTTCCCCACTTCTTTCCTGTCACCTTCTGTCAGCTCCCATCACTCAGTGCCTCTAGCATTTTCCAAAGTTCTTTTCTGTTTGTTTTCTAAATTAACGAAATTAGCACAAAGTAGGACCATACTAATTAAAGCTGCTGATTACCCCAGCTTGATGGTTATCATTTAGGACAGCCAATGCTGAGAACAAACAGAGCAGCATGCAAGGAAGAAATGAGCACTGCAGTGACAGACAGGAGCTAAAAGCCTCTGAGGACAAGGGCAAACTTATGCCCTCCTTGAATAAAAACTATTTCTAGCACTAAATGGGAGCTCATCTGAGACCAAGACCCTGCAAGTCACATGGTGACAGTGATGAGTGAAATGCAGCCATAGGGAGGTAAACAAGATGCTGGGTATATTTGGAAAAGTATTTCCAGTAAAGCAAGGAGAGTATTAACAGCATTGCATGGAGCACTATAGCAGCTCATTAAAAATGCAGGGTTTGTTGCCTGTATCCTAAGCAGATTAGTGGGAATAGATCCAGATAAAGGTTACAGGGAGGTGCTGGAACGAGTCCAGAGAAGGACAACAGAGCTGGGGAAGGGTCTGGAGCACAGGTCTGATGAGGAGCAGCTGAGGGAGCTGGGAAAGGGGCTCAGCCTGGAGAAAAGGAGGCTCAGGGGGGAATATTCTGGCTCTGCACAGCTCCCTGACAGGAGGGGACAGCCAGGTGGGGTCGGGCTCTGCTCCCAGGGAACAAGGAGAGGAAAGAGGACATGGCCTCAAGCTGAGCCAGGGGATGTTTAGGCTGAAAATGAGGAAAAATTTCTTCACTGAAAGGGTTGACAGGCATTGGAACAGATTGCCCAGGCAATTGGTGGAATAACTATCCCTGGGAGTGCTCAAAAGGCAGGTGGATGTGGCACTTGGGGACGTGGATTAGTGGTCATCACAGTAGTGCTGGGTTAATGGTTGAATTCGATGATCTTACAGTTCATTTCCATCTTTAGCCATTCCATAATTCTATGAATTAACAACTTACTGAATAAGAAACTGAAATGCTTGGCTTATTTAGCAAAACAAAACAAAGCCTGAGAGGAGATGGAATGGTCATCAGTAATTTACCAGTACTGTTCAGAGCAAGGACAAATCACACTATCTGAC